CAAGGAATAGCTGTTGACAACAACAGAAGCCGCTCTTGCCCCTGTAGTCTGAAACAACATTTCTACCCAAAGATCCACAGGAGGAAACCAATGTAATGGAAATCATAGGCAACAAACATATGCCAGCTCACAGCGCTCCTCTTGTTCATCTGCTGCTGTGGAAGGAAATGAGTGGTTTCAACCTTAGGAGGCCATGCTAATGTCCCTTTATGCTAATGTTTTTGTTCTTCCCTTGTAATGTTATTTCTGTCACAGTCTTGAAATGGCTATAGGGTCTACCAGCAAAACCAATTTTTTTTTTTTTTATAGAGGCATGTTTTGTTTATTTATTTATTTGTTTGTCTATTTGCCTGCTTGTTTATACATGCACTGGGTACAGTCAGAAGCGCGGGAGGGTGAGAGAATTCACCAGAGCCAGAGCGGGGAGCAGAGCAGGCAGAAGCGAAGTACACTGCTGAGGGGAGCAGCGGGCGGCAGGAGAGGTCTGCGCCATGTGGGACCCTCCTCCAGTGGCCGGGGAGCAGCCGGGGATCGAACCGGCGCTGCAGAGGCCACGGGCAGCTTCGCAACCCAGCGCTCAACCGCTGCGCCACTGGGGAGGCCCAAAACCAATTTAAAATCTTTACATTCTTCATCAGATAACTAAGATTATGCCAGTATGGAACCAGCTCTCTTTAGCAAATTGATGATGAATCTTTGTTCTTAACAATGTTTACGGAGAACAAAATTTTCCTGCACTGGTTCGGTGGAGCACTGTTTTGGGTCAGTTCCATCAATGAGGCAGAGCCTTGTGATTCTGCAGGAGAACCAGACTTCTCTTCTCTTCCACGATCCTTAGTGGTTGATGAAAGATTACAGTCAGGCCAAGTTGCGTGGCTTGGGTTCCAATCCAAATCTGCGGACCAGTGCTAGGGGCCATGCAGGCCAGCATGTGGCCCTCAGCTCATCTACATTCATGGTTCTGATCGCACTGGCTTAAATGTTACTTCAGAGAAATGTGACACCTCATCTACTTAGAATAAGTTAAGGTTCTCGATTTATATGGCAGTCATTTTTTTCCATCCATGCTTTTCCTTTACTCATTCTACCCTAACCCCTTCCCATCAATCCACAGTTCTAGAGTTACTCCTTCACCCAGCACTGGGCACATAATGGTGAGCAGACATCACGAAATTCCTTCCTTTATGGAGTTTCCATTTTAGTGAGAAAGAGAAATATAATTCCAAAACATGGAAATAAATGTCCATAGATCAATAGGTACACTGAAATCATAGTTAAGATAACAGCAACAACAAAAGCAATCCTCTAGGCAACCAGGAAAGAAAGAATGTTGACATGTAGCAAAAATAAAAAAGAAAGGAATGAGTATCATAGGATTGGGCTAAGGGTGGCTCTGCTCTATTTGGGGTGAATAGGAAGAAGGTGTGTATGTAATTTGAGCATAAGAAATCCACAAGTCTTTCTTGCTTTCTTTCTTTTTTAAATTAAAACAGCAACAAGCATGAAGCACTTACAGAAATAAAGGACAGAGAGGTCAGCTATCTAAGAACAAATTTTCAGAATTTTGAATCTAAGTGTCTTCTCTTTCCAGACAAGATACATGAACTCAGACAACTAAGCTTTCCGGAGCTGTGGGGTCACCATCTGTAAGTTGATGGTAGATTCCGTCTGATGGGTTTGTTGAGAATTTAAAAGTAAGAACAGATGTGAATAGTGGCTGACAGATACGCAAGCCTTCAGTATGGCATTTTTGGATTTGGAAGCAACCATGAGCACATCCAGTGCCCAGAACTTGGTTTCTAATACCATTCTACAATGAAAGGAACCAGAACACCTTTGGAAAATGGCTGATTTCTGCACCGGAGCGGGAAACATGATATCAGCCTGGAGGGCTCCATGGTAGCAGAAAGGAAGTACTAAGAACAAACAAACAAAAACACAAACACGTATCTACACAATGATTGTGATATGGCAAGGGGCATAGGAACCAATTGAAAGAATTCCCAGTGGTCAAAACGGAAGCAATCTGAGTGCTTAAATAAATAAAACAGTATTGGACTATACCCAAGGTATTAGATAAATATTCAGGAGTCCATACTGACATAAAAATGAATGAAGGGGCATCCCTGGTGGCAGAGGGGTTAATGTCTCAGCACTATCAAGCTATTGCCAGCCACTGCAGCAGAAATTGGATCCCCCACCAGGGAGGTGACCCACATAGCTCAGCAGATCTCTCCTATCTCGCCCACTGCTCCCCTCAGCAGTGTGTTTCAGTCAGTCTGCCTGTTCTGTTCCCCACTCTGTCTCTGGTGAATCCTCTCACCTTCCACAGCTCTGGCCTGTATCCCAGTTCTTAAATGCATAAATAAATAAAAATAAATCTTTTTTTTTATTTTAATTTTTTTATAGAGACATGTTTTATTTATTTATTTATTTGTTTGTTTGTTTGTTTGATGGTTTGTTTATACATGCACTGGGTATAGTCAGAAACACGGGAGGGTGAGAGAATTCACCAGAGCCAGAGCAGGTAACAGAGCAGGCAGAAGGACCGAAGTACACTGCTGAGGGGAGCAGCAGGTGGCAGGAGAGGTCTGCGCGCCATGTGGGACCCTCCTCCGGTGGCCGGGGAGCAGCCGGGGATCGAACCGGTGCTGCAGAGGCCGCGGGCAGCTTCGCAACCCAGCACTCAACCGCTGCGCCACCGGGAAGGCCCATAAAAATAAATCTTTACAAAAAATGAATGAAAGTATGAACGCATAGTGGAGACACATGTCCCAAACAAAATAATTCCAAGTAATTTATAGATACTCCACCACAAGGAGGTGAAACTTACTCTCTAAGTGTGGACTGCACATAGTGACTTTCTTCCCAGAAATACAGAATGAAAAGGTGGGGGGGGGGAGTAGTATCTGTGTAGAAACACATGTCAGCCAGGTGATGAAAACTGACATCAGTATGAACTAAGAAAGAAGTCATGTTCATAATACATACTCTTGCTGAGATGTGCCAACCATGGTGGTTTACCTCTGTGACTTTCCTCCCAAAAATCCATAAAAGCAGTCTAATCATGACAAAAACATCAGAGAAATGCCAATTGAGGGACATTCTACAAGGTACTTCACCAGGACTCCTTGAACATGTTCAGGGTGATTAAAAAAAAAACCACAAAGGAAGTCTGAGAATTTGTCATATGCCTAGTATGACACAACTACTACCTAATATATTGAATCAGATCCTGGAACCAAAAGGGATATTAGGTGAGAATGAAGTACATCCGAGTAAAATGTGCTCTTTAGTAGACCATAATAATATATCAAACTCTCTATACTCTGCCATTTTTCTTTAAATCTATGTGCTTTATTTAATAAAATGAAGAAGACAAAATATTCTTTTAGTTCCCAGGAACAACACCGAAGAGATCCACCACTTACAAACTAATCCCTACAGGACTCATGGTGATAAGAACCAAAAAGTTAGATTTGTACTAGAGTCTAACATTAGATTGCAGAGGTTATCCTGCCCATTCATTGGAGCCTTTGTTTGCCTCTTGTTTGTTTCTTGGCTACAATTTCAACCTTAGGGTATTGTTTCTATTTTGATCACTGAATAGAAATAGCCGAGTAAGACCATTTTCTGTTTTTAATTAGTAACAATTATACACTAAAGCACAGTCTTTTGTATTGGAAATTTGGGATTATCAACAGAAGACTTAACTTTCCCTGTAGTTTGTTCCAAGTGCTCCAGACTGTCTCTTTGTTGTCTTTTAGTATTAGTACAGTTTTTCCCTCTCTGTGTTCAAGGTGATACCAATTCGATAATTCAAAACGCAATAATGGCTTTATTGTCAAAGCTAGCCTTCCTGGTCTGGGTTTCTATAATATAGGTCAGCACATGTCCCTGGACTGAGACATCCTGCATCTTCCTCCCACACGAAGGGACAAAACTGACATCACGTTGAGCTAAGCAATAATCACTTCAGCGGCGAGAGCTGAGAAAATGTCATTGTATTAAAGTATTAGTCACTTATCCAGCTGATTATTTTAAATATTGTGTTACCAGAATTTGAGTCACAACAATAACCCATTTTGTCTTTTAAAAACCAAAAGAAAAAAGGAAAAAAAAAAAAACGAAAAAAGAGGGGTAAAGCGAAAGGAAAAGAAAAAAGGATTTCGTTTCTTAGTAAGATCCATTAGCATTTCCTGCATTTTTCCAAAAAGTAAACAGGAAGAAAACAAAATAACAGGAGACGTTTCCAGGATTTGAAGTCTCATGAGCCCAGAATCCGTGAAAATCCCGTTTAGAACCATCCCAGAAAATTGGCTTTGGGGACGTCTGTCCGCCCGGCTGCTCAGCTTTTGCATCTTTCTAACATTCATCCAGCTGACGGTCCCCTGAGGACACAGCAGCTGGCGGGAGTCCCCAGACGAGGCTTCTCGAGCTGAATGCAGATTGCATGTGCAGGTGGAGAGAATAAAAGCAATTTAGGGTCGGCGGGCCACGAAGTACCCCAACCCACACTCACACCCCGCCTTTCAGGTGCGCTGCACATCCCCGGCACAATCGGGCCCCTCTGAAGCCCAGCAAACTCTTACCACCACCCCCGTCCCCTGCACTGAGAGTGGCCGAGCCTGGCCCGAGCGATGCCATCTTGGGCTCTCAGCATCTCAGAAGTAGTTGGCGAGTTCTGCATTCGGGTCACGTCCCGCGTCTTTCTTTGCAAACTTCACCCAACTTTGCAAGAAGACGCGAAGGCGCTGGTGTGCGCCCTTAATTTTCTCTCACAGAAACTGACAAAACCAGATTCTATTCCCAATAAACCTCAGACCTCGAGCTCCCGGCCCCCGCACCTGCCTGCACGCGGGGTTCCTGGGCTCGGGGTGCCGAGTCCGAGGCCCCGCGGCGCCCCGCGGCGCAGAGCCGGGAGCCGGCCCTCCGCGCGGTTTGGGGGAGCCGGTTCCAGCGGGAATGGGTGGGAGGGTGGAGGCACCCCTGTAACTTACATCCCAGGACCACCACCAGGTAGCGCAGCAGCAGCAGCAGCAGGCGGTGGCCGCTCCTCGCCATCTTCCCGGGCGCCCGCGGGCAGCGCGTCCGAGGCCGAGGGTCCCGGCTACGCGCGCGCAGGAGGCCAGGCCGGGGCCCCTGAACTTCTGGGGCGGGAGGGGAGGAGAGATCCGTGCGGGCGAGGGGAGGGGAGAAGAGGGGTGGCCCCTGATGGGAGCTCAGTCTCCCCTGCCCGGGGCGCTTCTCCGCGGGCGGGTCCTCCCTGGCCCAGGGCTGGGGGCTCTGGCTGAGGGTGCAGGCGGGGAGCAAGAGGGGGAGCGGGGCGGGACGTGCGAGCCGGACGAGGTGTCGGCGGCGTCCTAATGAGGGGCAGAAGGGAAGTCCTGGCGGGGCTCCCCCATCCCCCGCCCCCTGCCGCCGGGATTGATCGGCTTTGTGTCTGGGCGCGCTCGGGGCTGCCAGCTGTCCCCAGGGCGCGCAGCCGGGGCGCGGGCGGGGGCGCGGGCCGGGGGCTGGGTGGGGAGGGGTTGTGTGCAGAGGGGAGAGGGTGACGCTGGAGGGGGTGGGGAGCTCGGCCCGCCTCGCACCAACTCCTCTTTCTTTCCTGGCACAAAACTTCTTTTGGGGTTTTCAGCCCAGGGGTGGAGATTAGGGGAAAATTTCTATCCAAAGAGGCCAAGCTGCGGGCGGAGGCGCTGCGGGAGGATGGGGTTCTCCGGCTCCGCCTGGAACTCGAGGGAAAAGCAAGCCCTGGAGACTTGGGCTGGAAGGCTGGCCTCAGATTTTTGCGCTGGCTTTGGCCCTGCTCGGGGTAGGCTTTTGCTCCTTGCAGAGTTAAGGTGTGTTCTGTGTTCTTTGCTTTTCTCGTGTCCAGAGCTGGAAGTTCATCTAACGGTGTAAAATATTTATCATGTTTCTCTTCAGTTACATAACTGCTGCCTGTGGAGTTTTCCACACGTTAAAACTCCACAGCTGCCCTTTGTCAGGTTTATTTTCGGTCTACTCTGCTTTTAAAAGGGAAACCCGTTATGAATGCTCTGGTACGTGGTTTAAATTGGACCTGCACTTCCAGTGCACACACTAAAAGGGCTAAGGAGGCATTTATGTATCTGTCCCTAGGGATCAAAAATGTCTGGAGCAGTCAACAGTGTTGACAGGTCTGGAGAAACATCATTTTCAAGAGAAGAAATTGTTATACCTTTTTTTTTTTTTTTAAGGTTGAGTAAAGGACAAAGTTCTGTGCAGAAGGGAGTCGATTTAGTGGGGTACAGAGGAGAACTTAGCTAGCTCAGGGGACAAAAGCCAGAGTTTAGACAGGCAGATCTGGAAGGAATGAGGCATCCCTGCTGTTTCCTTGGAGACAGTGATGGAAGCTTAGTGACCTTGGCAGAGAGGGCGGCGACCCAGTGGACGCTGCAAGGGAAGTGAAAAGGCAAAAACGTTAGTTGGTGCTCTGTCAAGCAAGAAGGGGCACAGATTTAACAACAGGCTTCTCCTTTCTCCTTCTTGACACAACTATATGTCTCCTTTACTTCCCAATAGATACACACCCAGAAGATAAGCTTTTTAGGGCCTCCCTGGTGGCTCAAGGGGGTAAGCACCGCACTATGAAGCAATCCGCAGCCTCTGCAGCACAAGTTCACAAGTTCAATCCCCGGCCAGCCAGGGAGCAACCCACATGGCCCAGCAGATCTCTCCTGCCTCGCCTGCTGCTCCCCTCAGCAGTGTATTTCAGTCAGTCTGCCTGTTCTGCTCCCCACTCTGTCTCTGGTGAATCCTCTCACCCCCTGCATCTCTGCCCTGTCCCCCAGCTCTTGTATGCATAAGTAAATAAATCTTTTAAAAAAATAAGCTTTTTAAAAATTTATTATTCTGCAACATGCTATGCAAATAATTGATTCACTCAGATTCTTGCTTGTCACCTTGTCCAGGCATTTATCAAATGGCCACAGGGAGCAGGAGGCTGGTAGGTAAATGATGATGAACACAAGTCTTAGCTGCAAATGAGCTCGCAGTCTTGAGGAGGAAAAGCATTTCAGCTAGAAAGATCTCTAATGCCATGTGGTAAGTGTTATGTCAGGATAGAAAATAATAACAGCTACTTTTTATTGAGTGCTTTCTCGGTAGTGGACTCTGCATAGTGGAATAGCTAAGCACCCCAACTGTGTAAGGGGGGGAAATGGCATTCTCACTTCACACATGAGAAAGCTAAGCTGGGAGATACTAAATAGCTTTTTCAAGGTCAAGGATAAGGGATGTTCCTCTGTTGGGGTGTAGGGGCACTGTTTTCTCTATTAGGCATTGAAGATTAGTCAGATTTTGAAAGAAAGAAAATAAGGAAAAGGCATTCTAGGTAAAGCAAAATGTGGGGTCAAAACTTGGAAGATTGAAAAGGTTTTGCTTGCTTAGGAAAAGTGAGATTCTACAGTGCTAGAGTACATGTGGAATTAAGGCAGGCGAGGTGACAGAAACTGAAAGAGTGTCATCCAATATCATGGTGCCTAGCCTCATCCTATGGGTGAGAGCTTTTTGAAAGCACGAGGATAGGATATTTAAAAATCCATATTTTAGAACCCTGTTGTCCAATATGGTAGGCTTTTATATTCTGGTTTCTCTTCAGATCTTATAACTCTTTTGCCTTTTACCAATATGGTAGCCTTTACAGCCACGTGGCTACCATATTTGAAATGAATTAAATTTAAAATTCACACTAGTCACATTTAAAATTCTCATTCTTATTCCATCACTGCAGAAAGCTTTAAAGGACACAGCTATCATAGAATGATGATTTATGTAGAAATGTTGAGCGTGGATTAGACAATGAGAATCAGAATGCTAGACAAGTTTCAAAACTATTACAACGTTCCAAGAAAAAAATGAAGTAAAAACAACGGTGACAGAGAAATAAGTGAAAAAACAGATTCAGATGATACTGCACGGACCTGGTCAGCAGATTTATACAGGTGAGAAAAGGTGAGAAGTTATAGGTGAGATGTTTAGCCTGAGTGGGTGTGTGAGGGGCTTATACAAAGCACCATTAACTGAGTAAGCAGACATGGTTCCAGGAGACCCGGGATGAGTTGACTGACAGTTGTCCAAGTGCAATATCAGCAAAACTGTTAGAAAGCTTGGGCTGGAGGGCATCCCTGGTGGCACAGGGATTAATGTCTCAGCACTATCAAGCTATTGCCAGAGTTCGATTCCCAGCCAGGAAGCTAACCCACATGGCACAGCAGACCTCTCCTGTCTCGCCTGCTGCTCCTCTCAGCAGTGTATTTCAGTGGATCTGCCTGCTCTGTTCCCCACTCTGTCTCTGGTGAATCCTCTCACCCTCTGCACCTCTGGTCTGTACCCCAGTCCTTGTATGCATAAATAAATAAATCTTAAAAAAAAAAAAGAAAGAAAGCTTGGGCTAGAGCTCAGGAGACCCTCAGAATTGACTAAAGAAATAAGTCAATTAAATAAGTCTTTCAAATAAGTCTTTCTTTATCATCAGCATCTCTTAGAACAGAGATCACCAAGATTGTTACTGCCCAGGAAAAAAGCTGACAGAAGCCTGTTGTTAAATCTGTGTCCTTTCTTGCTTGACTGGAGCACAAACTAACAATTTTGCCACTTTGATTCCCATTCAGGGTCCACTGCGTCGCTGCCCCTCTCCCTGCCATGGTCACTAAGCTTCCATCACTGTCTCCAAGGAAACAGCAGGGATGCCTCATTCCTTCCAGTTCTGTGTATCTAAACTCTGGCTTTTGTCTACTGAGCTAAGTTCTCCCCTGTGCCCCATTAAATTGACTTTCTTCTACACAAAACTTTACCCATCACTCAATCTTTAAAAAAAAAAAATGGATGTATAACAATTTTGTCTCTTGCGAATGTTTTTTGCAGATCTGTCAATACTCTTGAGTGCACCAGACATTTTTGATCCCTAGGAACAATTATATACACAGAATATACACTAAGAGTGGGTGTTTACAATGTGTGAATGTAAATTCATCCTTTGGAAAAATTGTCCCTCTGGGGGGGTTGTGGATAGTGGGGGAGACCAGGCATGTGTAGGGTTATGGAGTACATGGGAAATCTCTGTACTTTGTATCTAATTTTGTTGTCAAACTAAAACTGCTCTAAAAAAACAAAGTCTGAGGGTCCTCCCTGGTGGCGCAAAGGGTTAAGATGCAACCTATGAGGCTATCCGCAGCCACTGCAGCATGAGTTTGATCCCCGGCCAGGGAGCTACCCACATGGCACAGCAGACCTCTCCTGGCAGCGGGCGCTGCTCCTCTCAGCAGTGTATTCCAGTCAATCTGCGTGTTCTGTTCCCCACTCTGTCTCTGGTGAGTCCTCACAACCCCCATACGTCTGGCCTGTACCCCAGTACTTATATGCATAAATAAATAAATCTTTAAAAAAAACAGTCTGATGGCAACATTTAAACAAACTGAAAAATGACCTGGAAAAAGAACGCCCCCCAAAGGAGAAGACAAAGAAGTAGGAGAGGACCTGACTTGCCTGCTGCTCCCCTCAGCAGTGTACTTCAGTCAGTCTGCCTGTTCTGTTCCCCACTCTGTCTCTGGTGAATCCTCCAACCCCCGCATCTCTGGCCTGTACCCCAGCTCTTGTATGCAGAAATAAATAAATCTTTTTTAAAAAAAAGTAGGAAAGGGTAGAGACTTAGGACCCAAAGGTAGAGGTAGATGTTTACAGTGTCACATGCTAAAAAGAGGATTGAGAATTGTCTCCTGCATTTAGTAATTCTTGGACAAAAGCAAAAGCAAGACTTCAAAAAATTGCAGAAAAAAATGCAGTTTGGTTTTTTTTTTTTTAAAAAAAAAAGATTTTACTTATTTTTACATAGAAGAACTGGAGTAGAGACCAGAGGTACAGGGGCTGAAAGGATTCACCAGAGACAGGGGAGCAGAACAGGTGGATTTACTGAAATACACTGCTGAGGAGAGTGGCTGATGAGTCAGGAGAGGTCTGCTGCACCGTGTGGGTAGCTCCCTGGCCAGGGATAGAACTCGTGCTGCAGTGGCTGGTGATAGCTTGATAACGCTGTGTCTATAACTCTTGCGCCACCAGGGAGGCCCAAAAAATGTATAGTTTTCTATGCTTAATTAAGTATGAAACACACACAAGATGAAAACAAATAATGAAATGATTACCAACAGCAGCATCAGGTTAAAGGACCAGTAATAGTGAGTGCTGCTTCATTAATGAGTGGATGTACATTGCTTTCCTTCTTTTAAAAATATTTATTTTGTAGAAGAACTGGGGTGCAGGCCAGAGGTGCTGGGAATGAGCAGATTCGCCAGAGACAGAGTGTGGAGCAGAACAAGCAAGTCTATTAAAATACACTGCTTAGGAGAGCAGGAGACAAGACAGGAGAGGTCTGCTGAGCCATATGTGGCTTAGCTCCCTGGCCGGGAATCAACCTCATGCAT